CGAACTCAGGAAGACATTTAACAGAGGACAGAGAACTTGGGACTGGGAACACTTTTTATACACACAGGAGGAGGGGATGACGAGACACACCTGGGAGCAATGAAACATCAAGGGAAACACCTAGGACAAATGAACTTAACTAATCAGGGGAGGAACAGGAAACTAACCAAATAAGGGCATGGGAAGGCACATGGGGAGCAGGACACACGCAAAACATGGAACAGAGTCTGACAGCACACATGTATATGTGTTTATAGGACATGAAAGTAAATGAAAAATAGTTTTTGTACTTTTTAGTCTTTCTTTCTCTTTAGCGCTTTGCTAGTTTTCCTTTCTCTGAAAAAAAAAGAAATCATATTCTGTTACAAAACCTCAAAATTATATCAACATTCACTTGGGTAGCTTATTTATCTTCCTCTACAACAATCATAATATTTCTCCCTAGTAAAATTGTAAAATTATTCTATACAAAGCAGCAATTAATCAATTCAGGTCACATCAAAAATGATGTGTCCTCAGATTGTGATATTTCTTTGTTTGTCATTAGCCGTGTGTTTAATATTTGCATGCTCTTAGCTGTCTGTCTTGTGCATGGCTTGTTAAATTGTTATTTTCTGCATGATTTACTTTCCTTGCTATTATGGCTTGTGCTCTATTGCATGCATGCACATTGCATTGGGTGTCAAAGGTCAAAGTCGTTGGAGAGTTGTAAAGGAGATGAAAAGAAGGAGAGAAGGATTTCATGGGGGGTGAATGGAACAGACAACAGGAGGAGTCTAGGAAAGAGACGTTTCTCTGAGGAGCTTAAACGCAGACGTCATACGGTGGCTGGAGATGTGAGGTAACATAGACCAGCTCCCCCTGCCCAAGTCTTCACCTTATCCACCACCCAATAAAATTTTATCCTTACCTCATATCAGAAAAAAAAACAACAAAAAGAGCTTCTAGTACCTCCAGTACAGGGTAAAAATTCAGCACTCTTATAATCTTATTTCTTCTGATAGCACTGTTTATTTACATGCACTTTCTGCATTGTTTTACCATCTAATTTGATAACAGAACTTTGCAAATCCAGTAACAGCACATAGAAATTTGCTCAACCAACTTCCTCATCTTGCCGGCCAACAGACTACTACAATCTGTCATACTTCACTGAGACTGTATGATCCCTTCGTAGTTGGCTCTTTAAAATGCAAAAGCATGCTCAACCTCACCGCACATCTGGACATATGCCCAGTTCTTCTTCAACATTTGATGAATTACTGCTGCCATGATCACTAGAAAATGTATACAACATCTCTCTTGCATGAAATTCCATTTACCACCTGCACACCATAGTTGGTAATAGTGAAACCTTAATCACACTTACTTTTGTGAACATGGCACATTCTATAATAAGACTAATTTACATAGAAAGGAGTCAATGACGATGGTAAGAATAACAATAGCATTCCTGAAGCATAAACAGTAGAACATATCCTTAACAACGACAAGTTTAGGGGTTTTATTCCCAGAACGCATGAATTGATTAAAAAAGTATACCTTTAATGCAATTACATCACTTCAGATAAAAGTGTATAATGCCAAAAAAAGATAAACTGCATAAATATAAATGTAACATGAAAAGAAAAAGAATTATGTTAATTATTATATTAATTATTAAATAATAATTCAATAATCCTTGAATTTGAAACTATTACTTTTTTGGGAAAAACATAATTATTACACTTATTTCATAAACACGTAACTTGTATTACACATTCTAAGTAACTAGATAATATTTAGTATATGTATATTATTTAGTATACACTCCTCTAGCTGAGTCTGGTTCCTCTTGACGCTTTTTTTCCCCTCCACAACTTTCCACAACAAGTTTCTTGCCACAGTTTAAGACATTATGATTTCCTTTAAAGTTGCTATGAAACCACATAAAATGTGAACAGTTGTGTATACAAATAAAAATTACTGTACTTGACTATAGAGGCACTAGAAATTGTATGCCCAGAGTGGTTAACCACAACCAATAAATATTACCAAATGCCTTGTAATAGAAATAGAAAACAGCATCTTTTCTTTTCCTCTTTTCCTCTCTCTTTTCTGATATATTTGGGCTTTACTAACCAATTAACGTTTCTGATCAATTTGAAGCCACACACTAGTTATCAATTTGAATGAAGTCTGCTTGGTTCAAACAAACATAGGCAGTTGACGAAAACTCATTTTGGGAAGTTGCTAGTGTGACATACTAAACGCTGTCTAAAACTTTTATTGAAGCTAATTCTGTTACAATTATAATGCATGGATTTTTTTGATATATAAATCGACTATTAAATATTTGTTTAAGTTCATTTGTCACAACCTTTAAAATGAGCTAGTGAAGGCAAAATGTGGTTAAAAATAGTGAAAAACTTAAATGTGCTATTGTCAAAAATATTCAGTTACCCTACACATTTATTATGAATTGTAAACTAAAATATAGATGTTGAAAAAAATGAGAAAGTATTCATATATTATCTATTTTCATTTTATATTTAATATATCTTAATTTTACCAAAAAGAGGCTTCAGCTATTCATATTGCATTGGAATATTCTTCTCTGCTGACTTAAAAATAAAGCTTTACCCTACATATAGTTTGAGAGGTTCATTGTGCATGCTGTTTGAATTCATTTGTTTGTATTCTGCTTTATTCACATGCCACTCTGTCTGTGTAAATGTGTGTCCTGTGTATTGTACTGTGTGTATTAGAGCTCTCTTTGCATGCCTCACCTCATACCTCCCATGCTTGAATACTGAGCCAGCACTGGATCCCAAACCCAGACCCCTGTCAGCTCATCCCACTGTCACTAACCTCCAGCCTTTGGAAGAGAGACCCACCTCCTTACTTCCTATCCCCACCCTGTGTCCCACAGAGAGGGGGTTAGGGTGTAGAGATAATGGAGAGGGTGCAAATGGACAGTCCTGCAGTACCTTGACTCCGTCAGTGGGCGCAGACACAGCAGAGGATATGGTTGCACTGTCAAAGTGTTCTGCTGTGTCATAATATAGAGAGTTTGAATAACTAAACCAAATGTGTTGCTGCTTAATTAACGCAATTATGTTATCTCAGGTGTAAGTCTTAAGGACTTTGTGAAAAAACATTACACTTTTAAGGCTTTTAGTCACTATGTGTTACAAACATTTAAGTAATTTACGAGTGCTTCATGGGAATATGCGGCCACTGTTATTTTGGAGGGATCTGCTTGTTGCAATTCTCTGATTGGTGGAGATGTCTCTGCAGAATCATGGGTAATGTAGTTTTTCACCAGGAATACACTGTTGAACATGATGATATAAAAACAATAATTTGAATGCAGTTTGATGGCTTCAGCAAAAGCATATACCATTAATTAACAACATCATAACTCACAATAAGTCAAATCCCCAATATGGAGAAAATCAATGGGATTTTTACTTCCGGATCCTGAGCCTCTCTATTCTGCCTGGAACCAATTAGCAAGTAGCAAATCAAACAGGAAATGAAACTGTGCTTGTCAAATGCTTTTATGGAGTCTTTAACCGGTGTTAACTAGTCTTGACTACTGCGGGAGTCATGGTTCAGGCTAATTTCATATAGAGAAGCTAGCTGAAAATATGGATGTTATGTATTTTATGTTCCATACTGGTTTGTGCAAAATCATTTGATTGGACAAAAATAGCTTTTATTTTGTGCTAAGGTTAGAATCAGTGATATAGTTAAAAGGCTGTGTTGTAAATACACCTATAAAAGAATAAAGCATTTTGAATATCATTTTCAACAGTGTCTGTTTAGTGTCAGTTAGTGTCTATTACCTTTTATATACTGTATCAACTAATTTGTTACTAATTTTGTTCATCTCTCTTTTACTTGCTTTCTCTTGCTTACAGTCGACAAGTCAGAGCCTCATCTGGTCGAAGCATGCTAAAGAGCACAAGCGTTAGCGGTGACATCAACACGTCGGAGCGAACAGACGGCAGCCAGTCTGACACTGCCCTGGGAACAGTTGGAACCGGAGCGAAAAAGCGCCGCTCCAGCCTCAATGCTCGATTCGTGGCTATCGTGGGAAACCGTCGCAGCCGAAGCACCTCACAGATCAGTCAAACAGGTTAGTGTCTGTAGCTACTCCTTTCTGCTGATGTAACCAAGGCCAACTGGGCATTATGTGTTATATTAACCAATAATGCCACAGTGGCGTGTCTGTTTAGTGTCAGTTAGTGTCTATTACCTTTTATATACTGTATCAACTAATTTGTTACTAATTTTGTTCATCTCTCTTTTACTTGCTTTCTCTTGCTTACAGTCGACAAGTCAGAGCCTCATCTGGTCGAAGCATGCTAAAGAGCACAAGCGTTAGCGGTGACATCAACACGTCGGAGCGAACAGACGGCAGCCAGTCTGACACTGCCCTGGGAACAGTCGGAACCGGAGCAAAAAAACGTCGCTCCAGTCTCAATGCTCGATTCGTGGCTATCGTGGGAAACCGTCGCAGCCGAAGCACCTCACAGATCAGTCAAACGGGTTAGTCACTGTTGTTACTCCTTTTAATAAAAGTAATATACCAATACATTTAAATCTTAATGAAAAAAAATCCTTTTATTCTTTTGAATATTCTTCTGAATATTTTCTTTCACACGAAAATGTTTCATATGACAGAAATTAAATTCACTGTGAGTGTTGTTTTATGTTATATTTGACTGTAAATCATGTCATTTTTTTTATTTCATTTAAATATGACATTTTTAAACACATTAATTACACTGTACAAAGAAGTAACAGACAGTTGTAATCTTAAGAATTTCTAAATGATCTGACCCTTAAAAATTCCTTTATTGGTCTAACCCAATGTAGTCAGGCTGATTTAGTCATATTTAGACTTGAATTAAACCCAACATATTCTCATTGAAACGGTTAGCCTCTACCTAGACTTTTGTCTCCAAAAACAATTCATACATACTGCAGCTTCCAGCTGAAATGAACAATAGTGACAGTGAAACACCAACAATTATTTATTTTCAAACTGATTATGATTACAGGCACAAATGATTGATTAATAAGGACTTTTTTTTTCATGGTTCCTCACTAGTAAAAAAGTAATATATGTAAAATACATGTATTTAATACTAAGTACAGTATAGTTCAAATCTATTAACATATTTACTGACATATCACTCGAGACTTATTGATATAACAATTATAATTCAACTTTATTTGGACTACTACTTGTGCACAATGCACATTTCTTAATATTAAGCCTCAAATATGTACAACATACATACGTACAACAACCAACATAATAAAATGTTGCCACATTTACACTCATCTGTTTTGGGAAAAATTAACACTCTTTTATGACCACTTTTTACAGCATATTTCACTCTGAAAGTGTTGTAAAATGTGCCAGAAGCAATGTAATATCATTTTGCAGAAATTACAGAATAGGTTTTGTCCAGTGAGCCTTGGAAACCAGTTCATTTAAATATTTATAAGATTTCTATATTATGTGTTTTCACTAGACAACACAAGAGGGCACTCAATGTTTATGGAACTGCATTTTAGGCCTACCTTTCCTTTTTCACTTATGCTGAATTCAGAACTGCATACTAGCATACTACTCTTACTGCCATATAACGTTATGGTAAAAATAGTAAGAGTAGTATGATAGTACGCTGTTCCGAATTCAGCATTTGTTTTGATTAGTATCCTGCTATGAGTTCAAGTGTATGCTTTAGCTATGGTTTGTCCTCATCAAACATGAGCAGGGTCTTTTCAAAGGTGCACCTGTGGCCATTTTAGTGCTTTCAGATGTCAGCACTCACTCTGCTTTGTTTGATATAATACGATTTTTCATCAGGCGACTCATGTCATGCCAGTTGTTCCTTTTGAAAAAGTCTTGAAAACACATTAGAGGAGTCTAAGACCTCCGGGGGAACTGCATTTTGTTCTCTCTGTTTTATGTAAGCAGACAAAAAGGGATTTGGGATGAGGAGACATGCCCTCGTTTTTAAGCGAGATAAAGGGGGGTGGTTAACGCAGTACGGTTAGCGTCCATCCCGGTGGGAGCTACAAGCACTGTCAAATTATTTGGCTGTCTGCTTTTAACATCAAAAAGGATGTAGTATAGTAAAGAGATAGTGTGCAGCTTGACCAGTATTGTTTAGAGAGGACACTGATCCAACTCTTTAAAACTTTATCACAGAAAATCACATTCTTTTTTCTCTAAATGAATGATACAGAATTCTCTTAAAAGTCTCTTTTCCTGATTGTTTGTGAAATCTGTCCGTCTTCAGAGGCATCCAATAAGAAGTCAAAGGGCAGTCAAGGGACGATCCAGCGCAGTCAGGAGACGGGAATGGCTGTGGAATTGCAGAGGAATATGAGTCGTCAACCCAGCCGTGAATCTAACAATGGAAGCATGAACAGCTACAACTCTGAGGGCAGGTAAGTTTCCTTCTGCTTTATTAGTATTTTTTAAAATTTTGCATACTTCTAAATGTATGCAGGTCTTGTATGGGTTTTTTGTATATTGCACTGCATTGGTGAAGCCAAACATCTGTTACATATTCTCTAAAACAACATGGAAACATTTGTTCTTATCATTTCATACCAATAGCGAGTTCTTGTGTGTACATGTCTGTCCTAAAGCATGGGTCAGTTGGAGCAAAAAAAAAAAAAAATCCTGTTTCTGTAAATACAGCGATACAGCATAATTTTACATTTTCCATATTTTTTTCTCTTCCGAAATTCCCCATCTTAAACCAAGGTTATTATTGTCTAGAAATAGCAGCCTCCTTAAGGTTCATGTTACCCTAACAACCGTCAGTCAGGCATTGCCATTATGCCTAAAAAAAACTGTTCAGTTTGTGGGAACAACATACCTGTATATAAACTTACAATACTTTGGGTACAATGATCATTAAAACTAGACTAAAAACTGATTTTTATCTCCAAAACTTTCAGATCCAATTACTGGATTTTTAAATGAATCTACTGTAAATCAGAAAGAACAGCACCTGCAGTATTTCATATCAATGTTTGTCTTGGTCAGTCCAATCTTCCCAGCAGTTCGAGTCGAGACTCAGTTCAGTGACTTCCTGGATGGACTGGGCCCTGCTCAACTAGTTGGTCGACAAACCCTTGCCACACCAGCAATTGGTAAGTTTTGTTTATCTGTGAAGTTTTTGATTTTTGTTCTTTAATCTTTCTCCCTTGTAGCATACTATCCTTATCCCAAGTTGTTTACAATTTGTATTCATTTATATACATTATTGTAGATGCAATTGATTGTGATTCATTTAAATAGTTTCATTAAATTAATTAATTGCATAATGTGTATAAATATTTGTTGAGAAAAGACACCAATATAATTTAAGACATTATATTATTGAGGTAGACAAATAGAAAGAATTTAGAATTTAGTTTATTTCCATATCATTGAATATAAGCCCTATACACATAATCAGTGGCCTACATTCCAATGTTGTATTATTATTATTATTGCACTTATAATTGTACTAAATACATTAAATTTAATTTACAGCCCTCATTCACTTACATATTTCAGTACAAAATACAACAAATAACTGCTTATGGAAACCGCAGTATGTCGGTAATGCTTTTTGCATGAACCATTTGAGTAAGTCTATTAAGCAAATGTACCATTTAAATAAATCATTTTATTTGCGTATTCTGTGATGTCCAGGTGACATTCAAATTGGCATGGTGAATAAGAAAGGCCAGCTGGAGGTGGAGGTGATAAGAGCACGAGGTCTCATCCAAAAACCAGGGTCCAAATCACTCCCCGGTGAGTCACTTCTGCTCTATTCTGAACTCGCTGCTTCTGATTCAAACTCCATATGTCTCACATTACTCAGCCATAATATAACTCATCAAGCAGTTCTAGCTGATACAAAAAGCAGCCCGATTTATCAGAGCTAGTCACACTAATGTCAGTATGCACTGTTAATATCTGCCTAATTTGATTCATTCTTTACATAGCTCCATATGTCAAAGTCTATCTTCTACACAATGGGGCGTATGTAGCTAAGAAGAAGACAAAAATTGCACGCAAGACACTCGACCCGCTGTACCAGCAAACGCTGCAGTTTGAAGAAAGTCCACAGGGTAAAGTGTTACAAGTGAGTCATGTGGTTTATTTGTCTTTTTTCAACATGTCGTTTCATTTTGCAGCTGATAAGGCAGTCGAACGAGTCTTCTCGGAGAAAATGTCATTTGAAAGGCTGCGTGTCTAGTTTAAATGGATCACACTTGTGAGATTAGATATTATTAACTTTGATTATGTGACCTGAGAGGGCCATCCACTGATGAATCTGTTGATTTTCATCCTATTAGGTAATTGTCTGGGGAGATTATGGGCGAATGGACCACAAATCCTTCATGGGAGTTGCACAAATCCTACTAGAGGAGCTGGACCTCTCCAGCAACGTGATTGGCTGGTACAAACTTTTCCCGCCTTCTTCCCTAGTCGACCCAACTCTTGCCTCTTTAACTCGACGTGCTTCTCAGTCATCCCTGGACAGTTCGCCGGCACCTGCGGGGGTTCGATCGTAGTGGACTAATAACATAAAGCACAGTCTGAGAGACAACAGGACAACAATAAGAACCAGGCAGAAAATGCGATGAAATAACACAAAGCTTTGTTCAAATCTGACAATCACTCCTGTGACTTTGTTTTTGTTTTCCTGTTTGTGGGTAGCCCGTGTTCTGCCAACTTTGTTTGTCCTAAACAAAATCGTTTGTTTCTCCCACTGTTTGTCGCGTGAGATTTAGGGCTGTCTACACTAGCACGCGGGAAGCACCGCTTTAGGGCGACATAGAAAGCAGGGTGATATTCAGTCAAGTCTTCATTGAAATGTACGTTAGCTAGTTTTTAACAGAGCATCAGAATGTATCAACCCAAAAACAAAGGTGACCTCTGACCAAGGGATTGTGGGGCCTCAGTCGAGGCCCTATCTAAACCCTGTTTGTACTGAAAGTGAAAGGTCAGGAACTTGAAAGACGTAGGGCGTCCCCTGGGGAGGTTGTCTGGAAGGGCAGGGCCTTTCTTGGTGCCTAAACCTGGAGGACCCAAAGCCATGGTCCATTTCCTCCAAAAAAGTTCCTCTGTTTTCAACGTATGTGACAGCTAACAGAGGCCGCTCTCGTCATTTATTTAGCTTCTTTTTTTAACATCTCTAGCACGTTTTATGAAAAACAACAGGTTTGTGTTGTCCAGTGTACTGTGAAAATGACAGGAAATGCTAAAAATGAAATTGAAGACAACGTATCTGGAAATACACACATTTCTTTGCACATTTTTATTTACTTTTGTTAACTGAAACTATTACATTATCCTACAGTACGTTGCAATACATCATCTTATTCAGTGAATTGAATTCGATTTTTAGATGTTTACACTTATCATTAAATGCTATTAAAAAGTAGATATTTAGTTCATGAAAAACACTATGTACCAAGATAAACATATTTGTGACCCTGGAGCACAAAACCAGTCTTAAGCCGCTGGGGTATATTTGTAGCAATAGCCAAACATACATTGTATGGATCAAAATTATTGATTTTTCTTTTATGCCAAAAATCATTAGGATATTAAGTAAAGATCATGTTCCATGAAGATATTTTGTAAATTTCCTACTGTAAATATATTAAAATGTAATTTTTGATTAGTAATATGCATTGCTAAGAACTTCATTTGGACAGCTTTAAAGGGCGATTTTCTCAATATTTAGATTTTTTTGCACTCTCAGATTCCAGATTTTCAAATAGTTGTATCTCGGCCAAATATTATCCTATCCTAACAAATAAAATCAAGCCAACTAGCTTGTTAATTGCATTTCCACTTTGTGTACTTTTCAGAAAACAGAGAAAAGAGATTCCTCTTGTGTGTCTCTGTAAATGTTGAAGTGACCAATCCGATTTTGCCATCATGAGCATAAACGCCAATCACCAATCAGGCCACTGGCCCCTCCCTCCAGTGCGGCGAAGCAGCATGACTCGGATCAGTTCCCAGCTGCATGCACATTTTTGTAAAACAGACTACACAAATGTTAAAAAGTAACAGAAATAGATATGTATTAGTTCAACATACTGTAGGCCAGCTTGTATGTTGCATGTACCTGTACAGTTTGCTTGTACTTGAATATAAGAGATAAACCAAGAAAAAGAAGCCATTTGCTTTCACTCAGACTTTTCAGATCAGCTAAAAAACTAGTTTATGTCCTCCATTCGGTGCTGAATGTTGCAACATTTTTTCTTTCCATTTTTCTTGTTTTTTCTTCAAACTTGTACATTTTGCAATTTAGGGTCTTTGGTAAAGGAAATCTATACAATTATGTTTTCATCTGTCGAGTAAATTTTGATAGAGTTTTTCAGACACTAAACTAACTTTTTAACTTCGTTTGATGCTAAGTGTTTGTGCAGACGTACATTTCTCTTTTTAACATAGTATGTGATTTAGCAAAAGCCACTTTCAACTTATACTGTACCATTCTGAGGTCACACGATTGGCCCGAGCCCTTGCACATACAGTACGTCTTTATTTTGAATTAAAAACGCAATTACAAAAGCTTGATTTTAATATATATACTTGAAAGACGTAGGGCGTCCCCTGGGGAGGTTGTCTGGAAGGACAGGGCCTTTCTTGGTGCCTAAACCTGGAGGACCCAAAGCCATGGTCTATTTCCTCCAAAAAGTACCTCTGTTCTCAAAGTTTGTGACAGCTAACGGAGGCCGCTCTCGTCTAGAATCTTTTTTTTATTTATTTAGCTTTTTTTAACATCTCTAGCACGTTTTACGATAAACAAGAGGTTTGTGTTGTCCAGTGTACTGTGAAAATGACAGGAAATGCTAAAAAAAAGAAATCGAAGACAAAGTATCTGGAAAAATACACATTTCTTTGCACATTTTTATTTACTTTTATTAACTGAAACTATTACATTAATCTACAGTACGTTGCAATACAACATCTTATCCAGTGAACTGAATTCGATTTTTAGATATTTACACTTATCATTAAATGCTATTAAAAAGTAGATATTTAGTTCATGAAAAACACCATGTACCAAGATAAACATATTTGTGTACTTGTACATTTTCCAATTTACGGTCTTTGGTAAAGGAAATCTATACAATCATGTTTTCATCTGTCGAGTAAATCTTGATACATAGAGTTTTTCGGACACTAAACTAACTTTTTAACTTTGTTTGATGGTAAGTGTTTGTGTAGATGCATATTTCTCTTTTTAGTATATGTGGTTTAGCAAAAGCCACTTTCAACTTTTATTGTATCACTCTGAGGTCACACGATTGGCCCAAGCCCTTGCACATAAAGCATAAAGCACAAAAGCTTGATTTTCAAATTTAAAAAATCGGATTAAAAAATATCTAAAAAATAAAATCAAGCCAACTAGCTTGTTAATTGCATTTCCACTTTGTGTACTTTTCAGAAAACAGAGAAAAGAGATTCCTCTTGTGTGTCTCTGTAAATGTTGAAGTGACCAATCCGATTTTGCCATCATGAGCATAAACGCCAATCACCAATCAGGCCACTGGCCCCTCCCTCCAGTGCGGCGAAGCAGCATGACTCGGATCAGTTCCCAGCTGCATGCACATTTTTGTAAAACAGACTACACAAATGTTAAAAAGTAACAGAAATAGATATGTATTAGTTCAACATACTGTAGGCCAGCTTGTATGTTGCATGTACCTGTACAGTTTGCTTGTACTTGAATATAAGAGATAAACCAAGAAAAAGAAGCCATTTGCTTTCACTCAGACTTTTCAGATCAGCTAAAAAACTAGTTTATGTCCTCCATTCGGTGCTGAATGTTGCAACATTTTTTCTTTCCATTTTTCTTGTTTTTTCTTCAAGTTTTTGATTATTGCTTTTTAGTCTTTTATATCCCTTAGGGGAAAATGTGCTGTACTGTAACACTGAACAAAAACTAACCTCCCTCATGTTTTACTGTATCATAATTTACCTCAAAACCACAGAAATTAACCTAGAAAATGTGTATACATCCCATCAAGTTATTCAAGAGTATACCGATATCAAAACAGGAAATGTCAAAAATATATCATACATACATAACAGTATCCATGTTAACCCTCTACCGCACGCATTATGATAGACCTATAGAAAAAAATATATGAATCTTTTTCTTCTCTAAGAATGGCTTAACTTGAAATGCTGTAAAAAAAAATTTGGAAAAAAATATTATTTTAAGGTACTTTATGATATGTTGCCATACGGCAACAGCATACAATAGTGGATCTAACTTAGAATAAGTGTAAGCTTACTTATAATAAATATTTTTCCTCAGAAATGTTGTTTGTGTTGATTCAATTGGTGCTAT